TAAGCATCCCCACCATCCTGGGGTCTTGCAGGTCGATGTTCGGGTACTGGAGAAGGAAGTCGACGTAGATGTGGCCGTGGTCGTCGTCGTCGTGATCTCGGAGCCGTTGCTGCGGAAGAACTTCCAGAGTTCGCAGTCATAGCATTCTTCCTCGGGGGCGCAAGGCGGCAAATCATCATAGTCCTCAAGAACGTTAGAGATAATGAATTGGATGCGGTGTCTGGTCATCCCGACACGCCAGCCTTTGTCTTCCACTGTGTCATAAACACACATCTGACCCGTGTGGCATGCAGACTCCATGGCATAACCACCCCAGGTGCATACAGAACTAACGCCGTTGCATGTCCCCATGTACACGGGGTCTGCAGTGTGGCCGAAGTGGTAAGACCCGGTGAACTTGCGCGACTGAGGGAATCGCGAATCATGACCTGGGGGGCTGGGAAGACCAAGGCGAGCGGCAGGTAGGGCTTCTGGCACGGCCTCAAAGGTGACAGCTGGTACGCCGACCGTCAGACCTAGTAAGCTGGCCACGGCGCCACCCAAAGAATGGCCTGCTAGCCATATGTTGGCATCTGGGTACATTTCGATCACGTTCGAGTAAAGGTCCAGCGAAGCACGGTAGTATCGGTTTTCGTCCTGCATTGCCTCGACGATGCACGTAAGATTGGCCGTATACAGCGATGTCTGGCAATCGCACACCTGGCGCCAGAGATATGAACCTCCCTGCCCACAACAGCAGCTGAACATAAGATTATCGTTGAGCTTATCATTTGTGGTGGTGCCCTCTCCGTCGAAAACCGCCGGCGATGTGCCTTTGATAGAAATGACGACAGTACTGTTTGTCTGGTCGGCGTAGACGTGCCCTCGTAGCCCGTCACCCTGCCACCCAAAACTCCCGGAATGATTGAAGCGACCATGTATATCTTGCCATTCACCCGTACCTGGCTCTTCGATATAATCATTGGCAGTCATCTTTGCCATCGTAATAACTGTGTTTTTATCTGTGACGTTGGGACCGGCCAGCGTATCCATGACCCAGGCATCGGGTGACAAAGCCACCGCCGATCCCGAGGACCTGGCGGCTAATAGATAATCATCGATAACTGAAAGACGTCGATCTGCGAGCCGTTGGATGGTGAGTGGCTCGGAAGTTGCAAGCAGCGGGGTATGGACGGCGACAGGTTCGGATTCAAGGCCATCCTCTGAGACGGCCCGAAGACGGGTCTCTGGCTGGATGTCCAGCCTTAGGTGGAGATTGGGGTCTTGATACGTCCCTCGATGGAATAAGTGGCGAAGTGTCTACTTGATCAGTGACCGTACGACAAGGACAGGGTTGCAGTACAGATCTGTCCGACTTACAAATTCATGGGTGCCGGAAAGCGATGGTGAGTCCGCTAGAGGGATTTGAGGGGGAAGAAAGGGCGACGATTGTCGGGAGCCGAAGTATACGGGCTGATAAGCGGAGACAAGGCCTGGGAGCAGTGCTACAGGCCAAAAAAGATCCGAGATCTTGGTATCCCAGAGGGAACGTTTCCTCGCTCGTCCTCGATAGCTGTTCATGGCGATATGCCGGGGGGGGTGGGAAGAAAAGAGAATATGGGGATGCAGGGATGGATGCTTGAAGAGGCAAGAGAGTGATCCAAGTCGGAGATGGCGATCTACTGTTCCGCGGTAACTGAGCTACAGGTGACCTACTAGTTAGTTAACCTGACTTGACCTGACTTATCAATGGGGAGGCGGTGAATGACGCACCTCATATCATTAATGCGGAGGTCCTCACTGCCCGCCCACGTGACCTTCCCCCTCTCCCCAAGTCCCCGTCCCGTTCCTTTCCAAGGCGGAAGTTGTTTACAATTCCCGGCCTGGTGATTCTCTTCCTATACATAGAGTGGCTGACTGAGAGGCAGGCCGATCTCCATGGTACTCCTGCGCCGCTGTGGCTTGCTGTCTTTCATCATGCTTGTGCGAGTGTTCTTCTCTTAAAACTCGATTGATCTCCTTTCATCTTCATTTCTTTCTCTTATTTTGTGTCTGTTTTCCATTGGGTTGCTATCCCACTTTGGGATTTCCAGCTGTCATCTAGTCTAACGCACTGGCCCCCATACATACCTCGATCTGCATACGCCTATCACCTGGACGTGAAGGCTCCATCACTTGACTTAATATCACATTCAAAGGTTTGACTGCAGGAACTATGTCAGTCAACACTCCCGATCATGGCGTTGGAAAACCACGCCTCCATACTGCGCGCTCGTTCCCTAGAATGGATTCATCTGAGCCCAGCCCTTTCATCCGCTCCAGAGCCAAGACCGTTCAGTCGGTGGCAATTCCAGAACTGGTAGACTCGGAATCGCTTCCTTTGCCTCTATCATCAGCAGAAGATGAGCAGGATTCCGGCCCAGACCTGTTTGAAAAGACCGGCTCCCCAGACTTGACACACAACGAGGACGGACATGGGGAGGAAACGTCGGTTCTCTCGCGAGGCATGCAAGACCACACGGAAGAGCTTCCCATCGAGCTGATCAGTCTTACCGATAGGTACAGTCTTTTCTGCTGGGCTGCCGCTAGTCCTGTTCAACACGATTGCTAATATGATGTTATGCAGATTCGTCAACTCCCTCACTGCCAAAGTCCACTCGTCACCGCCAACGGCCGACCGGGTATCAGATCGCTTCCAAGAATTCTACGAACGGGCCGAGGCACATATCGCTACCCACATATCAGCTCTGGCGTCGCGCATAAATCGTGATCCGTCGCCGTACGGCAGCAGAGGGAACTCGAACACTCAGGGCTCGGATGGCCGGCAGATGCTGACTGCCTCGGAAGTGACAGAAAAGAGAATCGCTCGGAAGCATCTAGCGTCAAAGCGCATTGCTCTAGAGGAAGCTGTAGAGCGGAGGGCTTGCGAGAGCATTTATGACAAGTTATGGAGGCACAAAAGCACCCTGGATGAGATTAGGGACGAAAAGTTACGCTCAAAGACGGCGGCGCTTCTCCTGGTTGGCATAAACCTGAAAGATCTTGGGATAGAGCTCGATGTAAGCTCTATCAGTGAGGAGAAGCAGAAAGAGGCCGATGACTGTCTTTCGATCGCCCGTGATTGCCTAGCAAAGATGAACGACGAGAAATATCCTTTGGGCAAGCTTCAACAACTGGCCGCCGCGCACAAGGCCATAGTTGATGCTCTGACTAAGTTACTGCCGTCATCATCGTCTGCCGATGAGATTCTACCTACTTTGATCTACTGTCTCATCACCAGCCCTCCCGAAGGGATGAACGTCATAAGCAATCTGCTCTTCATACAGCGATTCCGATCATCCAGTAAGATGGATGGTGAGACCGCATACTGTTTGACGAATCTTGAGGCCGCTACTAGCTTCCTCGAGAATGTAGATCTGTCTGACCTCCGCGGAGGAGCGCTGCATGAAGACCAAACCAAATTCTCGAGTGATGATTCGACGACAGTCGCGAAGACTGACTCCCCTCAGCCTACCAAGGATACACCAGTGTCGTCGGTCACATCAGCGACTGCCTCACCCGAACTCTCGAGGCCAGCTGGACCAGGAGCATCAGCCACATTTCCCAGAACACAGTCTACGAGAAATACTCAACAAGGCCGGCTGAATAACCTATTCCAGCCTCCTGCGAAGGTGCTTGGTGCTGCGAATGACGCAGTCCGTAACACCGCAGATCAGGGCTTGAAAAATATAGGTGCATCGTTGGACAGCAGTTTCAACTTCCTTTTTGGTCGCTTGAAAGAATTACAAACTACTCAGTTTGCTACCAAAGACGGAGGAAACGCAGTTGTGCCAAAGACGCTAGCAGAAGCTCGACGTCTGGTTACGTCGCCGATTGCGTCTGAGAGCAGTCTGAACCCTGATACCAATGCAGCCCGCGAGCCTCGTGCCACTGATCGACCGCAACTACGGCGAATTGGCTCCAAAGCAGAAGACACTCTCTTAGGGTTGGTTGGTGGTCAGAGAACGCCTCGCGATCGGAGTGCGGACAGCGTTCGGACGCAGGGCAGCGCCCGGAAGACGGCCGTCTCTTCAGGTCTGCAGAAGGATGAGTCTCAGGCATCGCCTGCAATGTCCTCGACAACATCGACACCTACGCCCCTCGAATCCATGCGGAGCTTTGGGAACACCCTCAACCCACTTAATCATATTCCCGGCATGATTAGAAGCTTTAGTCGTGCTGCTCCGGAAACACCGAGCACCACCTTTTCGTCCCCCAACACCCCGACTGAGAGAATCAGGCAATCGATCGTCTCCCGCGATTCTTCATCCTCCATCCATAGTACCTCATCGAAAACTGATCCGAAGCCCGAGCCGCCCAAAGTTGATCCGCCCATCCAACGCTTCGTCCAGATGCAGAACGCCAGCGAAATGACCATCGCAGATGTGTCTACCCTCCTTGAGGATTACAAGCGGCTTGCTGCAGCGTTATCGAAGCAGACCTCGAACTGACGCAATGCTGTCGGCGCAGCTACAACGACTCATTTTGATTTTCTCTCCCGTGTATTATCATCTCCATGGCGTGGGACGTAGCAATCCTTGACGTTCCTTTGTGATCGGTTGGTTCTCTGTCAGATTGTGGGATCACTGCTGGCGTTCAGTGGTCTCAAACCAAGCATGTTGCATTTTCCAGCCAGTCGGGCATATTATCAAGCTTTTTGTCTAGCATTTTTCTCAGGACCAACAATGCGAAGCTTCTTCATCTTTTTTTTTCTCCGAGAAAGTGTCTATCACGTAGAAGGGGGGGTATATTGATATTTGTGTAGTGTTAAGAAAGAGGAAGAAACACGAAGAATGCCATGAACCCCATCGAAGCAAATATTAGAGTTAGTATGCCCATCTGCCCATCCAGGGTATCAAGCATTAAGACTAAAAGCCTGCTGTAAAATGCAAATTTGAGCTTCCTCTTCCTCTTCCGACCTCACATAAACATGAAAGAAGCACACTCACACTCACTATCCTTCCCTACCTTTTCGGCAACTCTCACTGAGTAGGGGTCCGCCCCCGAAGAACCTCCGCCCCACCACTTTTCATATCCTTGAGCTTCCGGGACAACTCGGCGGACTGCTCCTCGACCAGCTCGTGCCGTCTCCGGATCTCCGCCTCGAAGACGGCGGCGGTCCGTCGGCGGGCGCGCCGCAGATCCTTCATCTTCGTCAACGTCGCGGAGAACTGGTCGATGAGGAGGTCGCCGTAGTCCTCCCATGCGTCCATCGTCAGACCGGAGAAGAACTTCTGGCGGTCCTCGTCGGCGAGACTCAACAGGTGCGACATCTTCTCCTCGGGTTTCGCGTCGGGTCCGGGAGGCGCGATGCTTGGGGTTGTTGAGGATGCTGGGGGAGGTGGCGTGGTTTTTGTTTCTGCGGGGGTGGCGGCGGAGGCGTTGGGAATATAGTCGAAGGGTTCGGATTGGAGGTCCGCGAAGGATTTCTGGCGGAGGACTTCGGGCGGGTAGTCGGGTTCAAGCTGGCGCTTTCTGGAAGAGGGGTCTTCTTTTAATTCTGGACTGGAGCTACTGTCTGGGCTGATGCGCTGGACAGATAGGCGGCGGGAGAAAGGGTCGTTGATGGGATCGTGGTCGTGGTCGTGGTCGTCTTTGTTGTGGTCGTGATTATCATCATGGTCGTTGTCCAGGTCGTCGATGTTGGTGATGTCAAAGGCACTCAGCGGGGGCAGGCTCCCTCGTCTCCTGAAGTCACTGTCGAAAAGGCCGTACTCCTCCGCGATGTCGCGATGATTCTGATTCTGATGTTGTTGGTGGTGGTGGTGGTGACGCTGATTGTGGCTGGCTCCGCCTGCCACGTCCTTGCCTGGCTGGGGGCGTGGTCCGGACGTCCGGCGGGTCGGAGTCAAATCTAACTGTTCTAGGAGGGTGGGCTTCGGGGGGCTGAACCTCGTCCGCGGGGTCGCTGTCATGCTGCGTGGGAGAGTGACCTTCCGGCTGTTTCCGCCGGCTAGGGGCAAGACCTGACTGGCAGTCATCATCCTGGAGTCGGAGTGGGTTTGTCGCAGTGTTCCAGGACCGGAAGCCTTAGCCGGCTCCAGGAACACGGCGGGGATCGCGGCGGGGGCGTCCTCGGTGGGATTCTGATAGGTGCGACGGCTGGCGCTCCAGAAATTCTGCAGACGCTTGCTCAGGGGTTCGTTGGCCGTCGTGGTTGACGACCTGTAGCGCCGGGCATAATCCGCGGCGTCCTCGGTCGTGTCCGATCGCTCATCATCCCCCACGACGGAGGTTAACTGGCTCTCGGCATCGTCGGCCGCATCCCCTGAGTCAAAGCCAGCCGACTTCAGGGTGTTGTCGCCAAAGCTCGCGTACCATTTGCCATCGTGCGAGCGCAGCGGGAGATGAGACTGGGACGGATGCGGTGGGAATATCTTCGGGTCGGAGGCGGCGTGATGCTGCGCTGTTGATGATAATTGATACTGAGTGGGAATGTCATCGAATCCCAACACGCTGGTTGCTGCGATGGTCGAGTCATCAATTCCCTCCACGTCGGTGTCGAACATGTCCCTGTGCGCGGCGTCTTCGACTGGTGGTGGTTGCGGCTGCTGCGCATAGTGCTCAAATAGGTTGGCCTGATTGCCCGGTAGTGGTACCGGAGCAATCAGGTTGGTGGACGGTACTTCAACCCTTGCTTGGGCTGCTAAGGCCTGTCGGGATGAGAGATTTTGATCATGATTCTGGTTTTGGTTTTCACTTGTGCGAGATCGCGGTTGGGCGCCGGGTGGTCTGGCATGCACATAGTCTCCCACGCCCATCGTCACTGACAGTGGTGGAGCAAGGCTCAACGGTCGAGAAATCTGAGTCGGGCAGAATGATCTCTTTCAGCGGGTTTATGAAAAGCGTCTTCGGTGAATGCTCAACCTGTACGCATCACAAAAAATTACATATGTCGAGAATCAGATTTGTAAGATGGTCGTAGCGTCGTGGCAGTCATGAGTTTGGAAAAGTGGTCGAATCAAGTTGGTCAACGCGCTGGATTCTTTCGTCAGGCACACGAGGCAGCCACGGGGTCACGTGGTACAGTACAGCAAAGTACATCGATAGTGTAGCCAGATGGATGCCTCGTTTTATGGACGCGTTTATTCCATCATATGTTAATTGTAAGCTAGTCTCATTATTTGAAGTTTCGAAGTGCAGATCTGATTTAACATTGGGATTTCGATGTAGACCGATCTGGGGAGATGCCGTTACATATATTCACATCATCATGTTTTGCACGAAGAACATGCACCAACTAAGTCGTTTAAATAACATCAACTCCAATAGCCCATCGACTCGTCATCATCGATGTGGAAGTCATCAAGAGTAGAAGTCACCCCCTTGCCACGCTGCTTGGCTTTGTGGAAGAATTCTTTGGACTTCTGAGTCTCGGACGCACGCTTCTCCATCGCAAGTCTACGTTCGCGTCTATCCTGGATCGAATACTGCATGTTGTCGGACATCGAGTCTTCATCCTCGTCATCGGTATAGTAGTCGTGGTCAGTCTGTCCTCCAGGCACGGAGGACACAAATAGATCAGCAATCCAGCGTGACACCATTCCCCTAAGCTCTAACAATTCTGGAGAATCCGAGAAGGGCGGAGAGCCAAGAATCTCATCCATTCTCCCCGCGATCTTTTGCGCTTGACTGAGCTCTGCTTTGCGCACGTCGGCAATGAGTGCGTGGGCCCTTTCCTTGGAATCACGATGGCCGTCGTGGTCGGAGGCAAGATCTTCATCCTCCGAATGCTGTCCATATTCATCGGTATGACGAGTCCAGATGTTCTGTCGACTGACCTCACTCTCCTCTTGGGCCACATAAACCCAGAGGCCGAACATGGCAGGGTAGAAATGCAATGAGCTGATGGAGTCTGGAGAAGCCTTCCGGTATGGATGCTGGATGATCAGCCTCTCATAATACTTCTTGGCATCCTCAAAGCCCTTCCTTGTGAACATGAGCTGTGGACCCGAGCCTGGTGACTGGGAACCGCCGTTGTCGCTGCCATTTTCAGCAGCCATGTCTGCGATTTGACGGCCGCGCCGGAGCAGAATTTCCGCACCAATTCCCCATCTCCCCTCAGTCCGCGTATCGATCGGTCTTCCATTAAATTCTTCTCGGAGAAGTAGTCCCCAGGCTCTTCCTGCTCGGACATAGTCCCTTTGAAGAAGACAGCGGTGCAATATGGATGTCAGCACAGCCAGGTGCTGCAGACGGAGGTTACCCTGATGAGCAGCAGACTGGGGGGGATATATGGGAGAAGAGAGAGAGGATAGCTTCTCAAGTACCCCTTCCCGCGTCTGTCGAGTGGAAGACTGGGTTTGTGCAGGTGCATGCGGAAACTTGCCGCCCGGTAATTCCTGGTCGAAAGACAAGCCCGCAACGCGGTACTGATGAGCTTCATCTGGGGACAAAGTCAGAGATGGCGCAGGCAGCGCAACTTCCGAAGCAGCATCGGTGGTTTCTCCTAGGTCGTCATCATCATTGTCACCCCAGTCATCAAGGGTCTTCTTGCGCTTTTTGGTCTCATATTTAGCCACCCGTGCACTCTGAGGTTGCTGCCATGGAGGAAGCGGCAAGGAGAAGAAGGAAGCTGAAGGAACAGATGCCATGAAGATCTGAATTTTTGGAAACCTGAGAACCTTATCTATTCAGTGACAATGTATGACGAAGGCAAATTAAGGTCCCATGGGGAGTGGCCATTTAGATTGTTTGAATCTGGCTGGAAAATCAGACACGGTACTGCCTGCAGACTTTCAGGTCTCCTCTTGGGGTCTCGTCCAGATAAGACCTTTTCCTTCTTCTGTTTCTTTTTTTTCCTTTTTTTTTCTTTTCTTTTTCAAATACCCTTAAACTCTGGCATTCTGAGGCACCAGCAGCTGCTTAGGAGAGAAGGAGAGTTATAGAGAATATGGATAAGGGTAGATGTGTAGATTATGGATGTGTTTCTGCACGGGTGAAGAGCGACCAATTATGGAGGGCAGATAGTGAGTTATCGGGATGGAGGATTGAGGATGGATTCATCCTTAGTGTCTCAAGCACGTTACCGACTATCCACGCTAAACCCAATTGAGCCAGACAAACCGCCGAAACCGCCATGATGCTAAGCCCTTTCAAGCCATCGGGCGTCCCGGACACCTCAACAGAACTCAGGCTGTAGATTACATACTTACACTCCAGGGCAGCCTGTCTGTTACTCTACTGTGTAATTCGAGTAAGTACTGTATGTTATCCGTCGTCTCCTCTTCCTCCTCCTCCTCCTCTCACTCCTTCTCTGTCGTCCCCCCCATCCCATTCCTCTATCCCGTCATCATCGTCATCAGCCTCGAACCTCCCTCCGTCTTCGTGCTTCATCCCTGAGCTGCAAGGCTCACCTCCTCCTTCCATCCCTCCCTGCTTCCCTCTTTTTCTTTCTGCTTTTTTCTTGTCCTCCTTTCCCTTCTTTCTTTCTTTCGCCGCTTGTACATACATACGATCGCACTTTACTCCGATTGTCGTGGGGTCTCTCCCCTCTCTCCCCTCCCCCCCGAAAGTCGTACGGCGTTAAATCCAAATACAAAAAAAACCCGCGCCATACACCTCCCCTTCCTGGCTTTTGGAAGGGTTGGCAGACACCTGCTGGCAGGCTGATTTTGACATCAATACTTTCCCCATTTCGGGACACCTCTCTGGGACATTTAACGGTCTTCGTGAAGTTGCGGACCGCGATTAGCACTTGATTCCCGTTGCTGCATTCTGTGACGCGGAAGAAGCCTAACGATTAGCTGCAACCTGAGCATTGCTCCCTTCCTGCGAACACACATCCTCTTCACCCAGCTCAGCCGCTTTGCTCTGGAATATCTCTCAAATCCTCTTGTAGTCAGCATCGGATGTCATCGGCTTGTTAGACAAACTGTCAAATGGTACGTATCTCCTGGGCACTACCCTCGCGTCGCCCACAAATTGGTACCCATCTGGTGGCGCTAGTTTGTGTGCGCTGCCTAGATGTTTGTCTTTTCAACCATGGACTCTTATCCTGACCTCTATATTCCTTCACCTTCCATGTGGACTCCACTGGTTTGGACTGAATTGCAGCTGTGTATTGTCTGACTAATGCTGGTTTCACCTTTAGTCATCAATTTCTGGATGGCAATAGGCAGCTCATAAACATCCATTGCCACGGCCTACTATCGCCTTGCTGTTACTATGGGACAGTCTTCCTCAACGCAACGAAATCATCGTCACAGCACCCCCTCAGAACGCTTTTTCTCTTTTCACGCGCATCGAAGTCGGCTAGATAGGAATGAAGATATGAATCAAAGGCACAACTCGGATCAAATGGGGGATGTTCATTCCCCACCAGGAATGGAAGCAGACAACAGTGGAATTCAGCATGGACCGACAGGGGTCGAACAGCCTGAGACACTGCAGCCCATGATGTCTTCACTCGGCGAGCAGCAGCAGCAGATGGGAAGCATGCACGAGGAGGACGGGTCGCACTTAGGACAAAGCCAGCGGGACAGTCGTTCAGCCATCTTCGCTCGTATGGCAGCGAGAAGGCAGTCCACCATGTCTCGACTGGGCTCCAGGATCTTACCCAACTCCGTGATCCGTGGTCTACTAAGCAGCGAAGAGGAAACACCAGCAGAAGGTCACGCTCACCGCCATGGCATCGTTTCAAGATCAGTCCCCAGAACTGAAACTACCCACAGCAGCAGTCGGTTCAGCCCGTTCAGTGGGATCTCCAGACGACGCTCTGCACGTGGGCCCTATTATATTCCCCGCAGTGACCCCCTTCTTGATCCCTCCAGTCCTGGCGCATATCTCACCCCGCCAGAAAATGGTTCTGAAGCTACCAGAAGTCCGTGGAGGCGCAGTGCTCGACTGAACCGTATGCGAAATTCAATTTCGGGCCCGATTACACACATGTTTGGACAGTCATCGAACATTTCAGGCCAGAACCTGGGCCCACCGCCGCAGTTACCCTTGGGATCACTTCCTGGTGAAGACCATGAAGGCCTTCTTCCATACCCAACAGCTATGGATACACGGATGGACTTTGATGAGCCCCATGAACTCGATCCAGTGGAACCGGCAGTGGGAAGCTCCCGGCCAACCTCTCCCATGTCGCAGTCAGCGCAGGGTTCTCCCGGGTCACGACAACTTCCGGATTCACTGCGGGTAAGGTCATCACGCATGCTGCGCCGGGAGGAACAGACACCTTTGTCTCGTGTACTTCAGCTGGCAGCTGCCGCCATTGCTGCCCAACTTTCTGGAACGACTGGGCCTGTTATGCCCAACATTCAATCTCTTGGGAATGATGGCCTGGATGGCTCGCTTGAAAACTTTATCCAAAGCTTGCAGCATGCAACGTCTGCACAGCAGCCTACTCATAACGATGCACCGACTCCCGCAGGGGATACTGCTCCCCAAACCCCAGTCAACTTCTTAAGGGTATTTCGATTTGCCAACTCGGACAATGCTCGGCCCAGTGGACCGGCAGATCGCCCAAGTGCGGATAGCGATAATGCAAGCGGTACTGGAACACAGATGGATGTTGACGGTCCTACCGAGGGTCAGGAAGGTCGCACGGTCACTTTGGTTGTGGTTGGGGTTCGTTCAGTTCCGTCAGGTAATGGCTCCACCGGTGAACAGGGCGGCAATGCGGCTCCTGGGCTCGATGCACTGCTTCGTCTGCCATTTTTGACACCTGGAAACCTGTCACGGAGTCAGGATAGCAATTCGACTTCTCCATCACGTGGTGAAAGCAGACCGAGATTACCGCAGCTTCGCCTGCGACCCCGCAGCAATGGTTCAAATAGCATGGGTGAGCCGTCTTCTCAAGGCCATCTACACCCCTCGCGACGGTTCTCTGATACGGCAAGCCGCGCTCCGCTCACATCTGTTCCTTCTATTCTGTCGGAGAGCCCTCCGGGGCCTAATCCACCCCCATCAACGCCGGCTGAACCGGGACTATCAGCCGTATCATCCGGCGCCTCAACCCCAAGTCGAAGGCCGTCTGTCGCGTCCGCAATCCCTCCGAGCGTCCTGCCTCAGCTTGACGAGAATAGGGCATTGCAACCCACGGCTGAGTCGGTCGAAGACGGCATCCCGCCGACAGCAACACGACAACGACGTCGTAGTGACTCCGAATATGCGCGCCATCGTGAATTAGGATCTGGTGCGGTCAGACGCAACGGCGTGGTAGAACCTGATAACGGCACACCCCCTACGGGCAGAAGCTGGTTGATTTATGTTGTTGGAACCAATCTGTCGGAAAATCATCCTGCTTTTGCTACTCCGAGCCTGTTCACAGATGTAAGATCGATCATCCGTGTTTGACGTTCATTCATGACTGACAACTTGCAGAACCCAACATATGAAGACATGATTCTGCTCTCATCTCTTCTCGGGCCAGTTAAACCACCCGTTGCTACTCAGGACGATCTCACCTCCGCCGGTGGCATGTTCCGACTTGTCGAATACGGAGGTACCCTCATTGCGGAGGCTCTAGAGGGCACTGGTAACATTCATCTACCCGAGGGTGAACGTTGCTTGATCTGCTTAAGTGACTATGAGGTGGCCGATGAGCTTCGGCAATTGAACAAGTGCAAGCACTTGTTCCACCGGGATTGCATAGATCAGGTATGCTCTTCATGATTCTACATTGTTGTAAGCACATCGCTGATATCAAGTTTGTAGTGGTTGACAACAGGCCGTAACTCCTGTCCTCTGTGCCGTGGCCAGGGTGTGGCTGAAACCTCTAATGCTGGACCGGCCGCAGAGACGCCGGATGTAACAGCAGCCTGACGACACCTAGCCGAGATTAGCTTGTCTCTTTTCTTACTCTGGAGATACATTTATTGTCCTTCAACTAACCTTGAACTTCTCTTAGCATGAAGCGTCTATACCAAAGCCTGATGAATGACTTTAGCTTACTTTCTCATGATATCCCTTCACGGACATCAAGCGTGGCTCTCTCTTTTGTCCTCCCTCAACTTGAAGGGCCTTTCTGGTTAAATTCTTACCTTCCGGGATTCTGCAAACACTGGCGGTGACTCATGAGTAGAAGGCTGCATATATGTATGCATCCTTGTACGGTGCCGTTAGCTGTCACGGGTCTCACAGGCCAAGGCATGGAGACCCTGTATTGATTTTGTGTGACATATCCCCGGATAATTTCCACCTGTTTTGCACCAGATTATGCTGTACTATTCCCCACTTTGTTTGATATTTGGATGTTGGCTTGTGAGCTGGAAATGCACCGGTGCATAATACCTCTTTTTACTCCTGTCCTTGTTTCTAAAGGATTGTGCGGGATAGTTGTTGAAATGGGACTAGGTATAACAAGCGAATGAAACTTTGTTAATCCTACTTGTATCCTGTCTTGATTTCTTGACCGATTACCCATATACGTATATATCAGTCAAAGGTCTAGTAGCAGCAACAGCAAGTTACAGTATATCTTTGTAGACCAGTTCCAAATATCAAAACAATTATAACTATAAAAGATAGTAAGCTCTTAGACTTGTGTTTCTGTTCTAGCTAATTACAAGTCATACAGGCTGATTTTTGCTATATAGAAGATTCCCCTAGTCATATGTCGGCGTTCCTGAGTAATCCAGCTACATAATCCAACGCGGTTACCAGGCTGCTTCACATGTTGATATCTCAGATACTTTAAGCATGAAGAGCCACCAAGGAATCAAGAGATTGCTCCAAAAATGTACACCCCGGCGTGCCTCAGATTGCTTACGTCTTAACGAGGCTACACTAGCCAATATCTTCGGGGCGGGATAGTATATATTCTATACCTAAGTTGTTCTCCCTTCTGTCTGTGGTTGGAAATTAAGACTTGTTGCCCTTGCCTTTTAAGGCTAAAGTCCCCCCAGGACTAGCCCAAGGTCTATAATCGAAAAAAAAGACCACCACTATCAATCAATGCATGCAAAGCCCCGATGTATCCTGTCTTCTAATTGACCCTTGGAACGGCGGAGCGGAGAGACTCAGGGCGCGGGCGCGTCCCGCATCTCCGCCCCTCACGATGACTCAGCCCACCGCCCACCGGACTGTCCACCACCCCGCGTCTTTGCGATCTCGGCCCTGTAGTTGAGGACGCAGCTGGTTCTCAACCGTCGACTCCTTCAAACGTCTGCCCACGGTCTTTTTCTATTGTATTCGACCTCGGAAAGTCTTAGGTAGGAAGATGAAACCCTCAAGGACACAATTATACCTTGCTAATTGGGCAATTGAGAGACAGGATTCAGCGAGACGGAAAAAAATTAAATTCCTACCCCGCCATCCAGGAACAGACGCCGATATCGACCATCCACGCCTCATCTGCCATTCCTTCAGGACAACGCGACTCCGTCAAAAATGGCAGACCCCGTCCGGCTTACCGTCCTCATCTCCGGCAGTGGAACCAACCTTCAGGCTGTCATTGACAAAACCAGCCAGGGTCAACTCTCCACTCAGATTGTCCGAGTCATCTCCAACCGCAAGGATGCTTTTGGCCTTGAGCGGGCTCGCAAGGCCAACATCCCCACGCAATACCATAACCTTGTGAAATACAAGAAGCAACACCCGGCAACACCGGAGGGGATTCTGGCGGCGCGCGAGGAGTACGACGCTGAATTGGCCCGGCTGGTGCTCGTCGACAAGCCAGAGATGGTCGCTTGCCTGGGATTCATGCATGTGCTGTCACCACGGTTCCTGGAGCCGTTAGAAGAGGCCAAGATCAAGATCATCAACCTGCACCCCGCTCTGCCGGGTGCCTTCAATGGCGCGGTAAGTTCTCATTCTTTTCTGTCGAGCTTTTCTTTTAGGGTGTATGCGGTTGGATTGTGCGGCTGCGAGCCGGGGGCTTAGACATGAATATATCTGACTCCCATCGAACAGAACGCTATCGAACGTGCCCATGCGGCTTGGCTGGAAGGGAAGATCGATAAGACGGGTGTCATGATGCACAAGGTAATCTCGGAGGTTGACATGGGCACACCCATTCTTGTGCGCGAGATTCCGTTCATCAAGGGTGAGGATGAGGATCTCCACAAGTTCGAGCAGAAGGTGCATACGATTGAATGGGGAGTGGTGATCGAGGGGGTACAGCTGACGATCCAGGAGATCCAGGATGAGAGGCAGCGGAGGTGATTTTCTTTGGATCTCGAGAATTTACGTTACCATTGTGGTTAAGATACCAAGATACCAAATCCGAATTTTAAGATATCTACTCATTAGCATCACCTTGTAGGAACAATTCAGTCTTACTTCGCTATCATTTGTGATATGTTTCTGGTGACTGCCCGTGGTATAGCTGAGCTGAGCCTGAGCCCAGACAACCTTACCTAAGGCAGTCCCGAGTCAAGCTTGCCAACTTTTAGAAATGGATGGATGCCTTCAACCCGGGTCCGGCGTGACTTCCGCGGCGATTAGCCCGCCCAGAGGAGTTTCCAACTTCCATTGAGTATCTTTTCCATGGGAACAAGAAACTCTGGATTCAGTCTATTTGCTCTATCGTTTCCGCATGTCTCAATTAGTTAAAAGAGGGGCCAATCACTTGAATCATGCAACCGGACTCTTACGGTTCGATCACCTCGAGCCAGCGGATGGCTACGGTATCCTGCTTGCTGATCGTCGTTACAGCCGGCGTGCAGCCAGCCTTCCAAGTATTACCACGACGAGGATCCTATCCTCATTCTCCGGCTGAAGCCCGCACTCGAAAGTCTCGACTCATATTCTTGACGTGATTCATAATGTTGACCATATTGTCGACGGGTGGCACCTCACCAGGATCAACCGGCGACGCCCGCTTCCACTGTCCGTACAGGCTCCAAAGCAGATGCCTGGAATCCAACTGTATCTGTGCAAGGGTTCTCAGAGGAAGGCGACAGACGGTACTGGTGTCGGTGACTGAGACCCTGGTCACTGTGATATCATGCTGCTTAAGCAGATAAGAAAGCTAGGACTATATTCGCTGGGAAGTCTCCGAGATCTGCTCAGCTCTGACTTGATGGTCATGACACTGGGATTCTGACTGCTTCATCTAAGGGACTCCACTCTGCAATAAGTCCCCGGGCCTGCTGGGAAAGGAATCCGCCACCCCCTCCACCCGGTTCTAGATACCATCATAGTAGGCGGTGATCATGATTATCATGGGCTTGAGACCCCTGGCTGCATGATCCTAATGAGTCCAGGATGCGCAAGCCTGTTAGCTCTGAACTTAAGCTTGCCTGTGTCAGCAGGCTTGGGAAGCTAGATTGATTCTCACGCACAAGCAACCTGCATCCAAAAATCACTCACCATGTTGTCTATGTGCATTAGTCCATGGGAGTGGGCAAGCGGAACCGCTCACATCCTTTTTCTCGTATCCCTACGGGATGATACCCCTCATTTGAAGCCTTAATCTGAGCTTCAGTTCTGCTGATAGGCTGGCCTCGTGGATCTAACGGCTGATTTGCATCACAAGCGCCCAAAAGACAACTAGGCAATATACAGTGCTTGTTGCGTGTTTGTCCACGTATGCCATCAAGGAGAGAAGTGAGAACCCATGACTACTGAAGAAGGATCATTAGTGCAGGTCATAAAGGGCGTTTGTTGGTCCCTATTAGGAAGGTCTGGGCAGTGGTTCCACCAGAACAATCATGATATGACGGCTGATCCAACGATGAATTGACCTCTGACTCGACGAACTCCCCATAGCAGTCTTATGTCTGTGGAGCTGAATCCCTGGTCTTGCCTTAATGCAAGGATACACCTAGAGCAAGTTTGTCTGGCAAGCACACTCAGTATGCAAATTTTGGGGCACCGACAACGTCTCCTGTAGACACTTGATAAAATCATTGAACAACCAGGATGAGTAATCCGAGGTACTGTGCAGACTTCTCCTTGAAAGCTTCGTTGGTCCTAGACAGGATTCCAATTGAACCAGGTTACACTCTATATGAAGCCTTTACGGTCAAGCCTCGATAGCCAGGTCTTCCTTTTCTCCCTGGAAGAAACATGGACTCCACTTCCGAAACCGTTGGCTGGCATGGTAGCTAATGATGGTAGCCTGTGCGTCCGTACCATTGACTTATGGAATCTACCGTGTCTTTTAGTGGGTATGCTTCCTGACTGATTGGCTCCTCGGGAAACTCGAATTTCTGCGGTGATGATCCCCGAGAATCTATCTGCGACACCGTTTCGAAGTCTCCAATTAATATTTCCTTTTGAGGCCCATATGGTGGCCCATCTAGGTCTATGACAATCATAATTTGTGGCGCGCAATTTGGGTGAGCAACAGCACCCACCGATCAAAACTGGGGCGGTCATACTATTCATAACTATCGGTCACTCTAATTGTTGGGTTGCATCACGCGGACAGGGACCAGAAGAAATCATCCATCTCATGGAGGAAAGAGTCAAGAAAACAGCCTTGGTGGGCACATCCGTTCGGACTTCAATTTCCCGTTCATCCCCCAGGTTGGCTAGCCAATTCTCGGATTTTGCTGGCTGACCAATCCGCTGCCTGTATACTTGCCTGTCCACTCTCCCGAGGGTCTGATTGACCCATGGAGATAGGTCTAATCGACGATAGTGTTATTGCCTGGAGGACCGGTGGCGTTAGTCAGTGGTCTCACGTCAAAATCTAGGTTAGCTGCTCCCTGCCCCCAGCAGCGGAATGACTAGTCTTCATTGTTTGGCACAAAAGGGAAAGGGGGTCGGAAGGGAGAAGATTAAAGAAAATTAAGAGTGAAGAAACACTATGAAGAGCGCAGTGCCATTGGATCTGTCATGTAAATAACTTGCTTCACTCGCGGTGGAGGAGGTCGGTCCTGGCTACCCTGATACGAGTACGACTAACAATTCCAGTCCACATGGGTGAATCCACACTCAACTTGGCTAATTTGAGCTGCATGCTTGAGTGTATCTGATTCCTTCGTGGGAACAACCACTTCCTTCACCGACGACTTATGATGGATATTAGCGTGTGACTGACGACACCAAGAGGCAAGCCTGTCACCTTGTTACCGCATACGCCAGTACACATACGAGGCAAGAGAATTTGGAACCAACTGCAAAAATAAAGCGAACAAACGGGAGAGGCAAAAAAATTCTGGACACGAATAAAACCCTGCTTACACATGACATGCGATATTCTTTACTCAGTACATCGTATGGTATGAGATCAACCCGATTTAGGGCTCGTGTGGATCTCAATGACACGACAGGCTGTGCTCTACGACCAGGTTGGACAAGGCCGTCATATCCGCCCACGCTGGGTTACTCTGGCATTGTCGTACTAGCCTAGCATTTATTTGGTTCGACCCAGTCATCAGCACCGCACACTTCCAGCTGTCAAACTCAAACCATCTCATGTGTCGATCAGGAACCTCCGAGAAACCCGAAATCACTTTTGCCCCCCCTTGTCCCCGGCAGTAATTCCGCGGCATTGTTCCCTTGCTTACGACGCCTAGTTAGATACCTCGTTGCGGCATTCCAGCCGTTCTTCAAAATTCTTGACACCCCTTATCTTCTTTGTGGTCGGGTCGGGCCTATAAGTCCACGCTTGCTCAAATTGCTCACTTTGTGGGGAAGCTTAATAACGGATGGCGACCCTGTTGGCTATATTATCGGCTGTTATGAACGGTTACCTCCAGCTTTCCGATGATGTATGAGGAGCCCCAGGTTGGCTTAGAGCTTTTCCGGGCTCACGGACGAACTTCTCGGCAAATATTTCCCAAGAGTGTGTTTCAGATTTGCCGAGGCGATTCGGGGAGTGTAAAAGTGGACCTTTAGCGGAGACGTCCGTTGGAATGGTACGGCGTTAGCGGTAGTTGGTCCATCGAAAAAGGTTTGGCTGCCTCCACTGCCATTTAGTCGTCTACCTTGGAGAGAACGTGCTCTTCATCCAGCTTGCTTGGTTTATTCAGTGTTATGCAAGATAATGCTCGACGGCTGGACGCTGATATCGTCGTTCCTCGGCTTGCAATCCTGGCTGCATAATCCTGGTACTTTTTGTTATTTTATGGCTTTCACGATCCAGACCTTCCCCAGCTCGGCACAGATTAATGGCCCTTAACAATAGCGAAGATTAGAGCCGTGATGACGTTGCCACAACATTCCTGCAGCTGCCTGATAGCTTCGCCATCGTGATGTTCTACCCTCTTGTTCTGGGGGGTGAGGCTGACCGTTCAAATGTTCAAATGCTCCCAAGGAGCTGAACAAGATCCACTCAGACTAATTCGCGCGTGGCTCTTGGGTGGTCATAGTCTCTCGAGAGGCGGCTAAATTGAGATAAGTTAGGGCTAGCTGGAACATCATCCGGCCGTATCTCGTCCGACTCAAAACGTGGTCCCTGTTACTTCTGCTTCTCGGATTACCAGGGCACAGTCTACGGAGCACCCTACAGTCTCATGATGTGACAGTCTGCTATGCACTGGGGACCCCCTTGAGGACGCCGTGACTGCCGGTGGGGATCTGCAATCTCCTGGAGGATAATCATATCCATGGTTATTCCTAAAATGGTCCCCGAGAGGAAAGGTCTCGGTCTCCATCCTTGCCGTAGCGGGAAATCGGATCGTAATACGGAGTAGACAATGAACAATGACCTATCGGGACTTCTGAAGGATCATCCGATGGGTACTGAGACTGGAAGTCCATCTGAGAGAAGCTCAGTCCGAGATTTTTCAAACCAGAACACCTGCCGTCGACTGGCCACAAGAGATAGGAGTGACGATCATTGTCCGATCTAGAATGGCCCACTCGCCGGCCAGGCTATCGAAAAGAGGAGAGGCACGCTGCAACAGACTCGAGTCAGCCCTTTCACCCCATGAGTAAGTAGCCTAATACCTCATTTTAACATCCTCGGAGATCGGAGATGTTGAGTGAGATAGAATAAGGTGCGGTCCAGGGAGTTCTAGCGCCGGAGAGCCAGCAGAAACAAGTAAAGCTGACTGGAATGTTCCCATCGTCAGGGGACTGTCTCAAAGTCTATCTGATTTAGTGTGACAGTCTTTGGCAGGTCTGACTGGGGCCCGGTAGATTCGGGTTGTCCTTGTCATCATCATCTCCGTCCCTTTTCTGTTTTTTTGTTTGATCTTGGTTCTGTTCGTCTCAATGACTTTAGCTGGAAGATGGGCTGGCTCTGGTGGTGGTGGTTAGTGGCGAGT